GCCACTCACCCTCTTCAAAAGAGGGATCGAGAGTTCTCCCTCCTCTCCAGGGAGGATCTGCAAATCCCCCCACTGCTGTGGGAGAAGAAGGTGTTTCACCTTCCCCTCCCCTTCCCCCGACAAACTTGGCACTCTGTGGCCTCCGAGTTCATCAAGGGGGCCAGTATCCTCCTCCCTTGTTCAGCTGCTGCATTTTGTACCACTTGTATCTTAAATAAACTTTTCATTCCAAATTGTAAATTATGTTAACCAACTGTTGAAAACTCATCGGGAAATGTAGAGCAGATAGGAGCAGCTCGGAATGGTTTATAGCAGACCTTAAGAGAAGTATATAAGCAAGTCATTTGCATTTAAGAAAAAAACAGTAAACAAGAGAGAAACAAACAAAACAAACAAGACGAACAAGATCTAATACTTCAAGAAACATGACCAGATTCCCATAGTTATCGATATAACTGAAAACGGGCAAGTAATGATGGGGAAGCGAACGATCAACATGACTTGCTGAGAACCCATTTCCACTTTCCAGTAGAGCTCACCAGCGATCTGACTATTTTTTAATTTTCAAACTAAGAAGAACAAGTAGTGAGGACTAACAGCAAGAACTGGCATTCCATTCCTCGAGTAATCGAGATACAGGATGAAGAGGATCAAGAGTAACATTTCAACATGAAAGGAACTACGACACAAATTTCGAAGGCTGGAGTTTCTCTCTCCTTATTTGTTGGACAAATGACAATTGAAGCGTACAGCTATCGGCTCTCAATAAATTCAAAATTGAGGACACCAGTTAGAATCTGCCTTTCTAGATAACAGTTCAAAAGGTAGAAGAAGGGAGGGGACATACACACAGAAACATAAGAAAACAGGAACCATGAATCTAGGATGGAAAAACACCACGTAATCAGCTCTTCCAAACACAATGATTGCGAAGTCAAAAAGAACACTCGAGTTGAGAAAGGAAAGGACACAGATACACAGAAACATAAGAAAACAGGATCCATAATGTATGAAGAATAAACAATCAATAGCCTT